AGGGCGACTGATGGTCTTCCTCCATGTTTCTGGCTATTACTAATATTATTAAGAAGGCTATTACATGTTGTGCTGGTGTGGCATATCTAAACTAATACTAAGACTCCGGACGAGGACAACGTGTTCCTACACCCACCACTACAGCATCTACTCTAACCCATGTCGAAACTACCCTAACTTATTGACTCCACACAAATCTCAAATGGTGCCCGCAAAAGGTGCTGACTCGCGATAGGACTTTCGCCACTTAAGGCGCTTACGGTACCTCCTCCTCTCCGGGTATGCGCTGCCACCATACTTGCCCATGCAGCGGTTCTTAGTGTGACCGTGGAGATGGCAAACGCTGCACTTGTACGGATGCACAGCCTTCTCGACGCGTGCGTAGCTCGGCGGGCGGCCGGCTGCCGTGCGCCGAAAGGGTGGAGCATCGCACTCGCCTGGTGCGGCCAGCTTCCTCCCAAGGACGATGCGGTCCACGCAGGAACCCCGCACCGTTGAAGAATACGTCTCCGCCCAGTTCTTCGTGGTGTAGAAGTCGGAAACGAGGGTGCGCGGGTCTAGCTTTCGCTTCAGAGCAAAGGCAACGGCATGGGAGCAAGGAAACTGGTACTGGTCCCAGTTTGAGCAGTCGCAGGTCCTCACTTCACTGTTGATGTTGACGTTGAAGGACCTCCATTCCTTGGGATCGTCGGTGTCCCTGGTCTGGATGGTTCCTTCCTCAAGATCCCCGCCCAGTAGCTCGTACCCCTCCGCCCGGGTCTCCTTCTGCACCATCCGCTCCTCTGCTGCTTCCGTGAGTATAGCAGTTCTCTCCCGCGCAGCCATTTTGCGTTCACAATACTTATCCCGATACCAGTCCCAGAGACCCCCGAGCAGAGGGGTGACCGGCAAGCGACGAATGGGCACGATTGAGCTGTTGACCTGCTCTGCTGCGTTGCTCGTAAAGATCCCAAAGCGACGGGTTGGGGCCTTAATGCGTGTCCAGTGGACGAGGTTGATGCCCAGCTTCTTCCTCGTACCACGCTTGTTCTGCCTAAACCCTGTCCTCACGCGTGCAGTGTGGTCCCCTTCCGAGACACCGGCCTCAGGCGTGTTATCTTCGGCGTCCTCCTCTGCCCCCGCCTGGTTCCTCTCTGTTGCCGCTGGGTCAGCCGCATCATCTGCCTCTGCCTCCTCTGCATCAGCCTCCTCCTCTTCGTCCTCCTCAATGTCGGCTTCAACCCTCACACGGGGGGGGCCACTACCGACATCCGGCCACGGGTGGTCCAGAGTGACAACGACCAGTGCCTGGCAGGTATTTCCCCCAGCCTGCTCCTCTCCCCCCTGGCCCGAGTGCCCGCTTGATCCTGTTGCACGTGGCGGGTCCGTCCGGATGCTGCTGGAGATGTAACCTGTCCTTACGAGTCGCGCGATGCGAGCATAGTCGAAGGGTCGTGAGGCTGCAGGCGTCGAGCCTGAGGGACGACTGGGCGGCTCGGTTGTGGCCGGGGGCTCAGCCGGCGCAGCCGTCGGGGCAGATGTGCTTGCGGTTGGTGCAGGCTGTGGTTCAGGAGATGGGGCAGCCGGCCCGCTCGCGACACCCGCCCCACGACCATGCGCACGTGATGTGGTCCCCAAACCCCTGGCGGCACGCGCTGCTGCACGACCCTGGCGGCGGTTCTCTGCAGCTTGTTGACGTGCTTCAGCCGCTGTTGTGGGAGCGGGACGTTGCTGCTCTGCAGCATCTGCCGGAGCTGGACCCGAGTTCGGCTTCTCGACCCCGAGTAGATAGTTGATCATTTCCTTGAAGTCACGGCGGCCTGCTGCAACCAATGCGTCCCATTTGTCCAAGTCCCTGCACTTCACAAGACGCCAATAGAAAAGAGCAGCAGCCTCTCCAAATTTCACAACATTCTGATGGAGATGCCAAGCACAAAAGTAATGCGGTATGCCAGCCGGAAGTACATCTCGTGCAGCAGGAATCAGGCCCTTGTCGCGATCGCTGATAATAGATGCATCGTCACGGTGCGGCCACTCCGGGAAGCTCTCCAGAAAGTGTTGCAGGAACCAGGACCACGAATCTTTGTTCTCTCCTTCGACCAGAGCCCACGCCAGCATCAGAATCTTCTGGTTACCGTCGAGGACCACGGCAATGAGCAGGGTTGCGCGTTGAGTGCTGATTATGAAGGTCCCGTCTAGTGCAACACGGGGCGGCAAAAACCAAGCGCACCGCGGGATGCGGACGGTTGAATGTACATCCGGTGGAAGCATCCGTCGACCGTTTGAATCTTGAACTTTCCACACGGATCGTTCTTCTCGAACCTGCGAGCCAACTCCGGTAGCAACCTGAACGACTCCTGCGGATTGCCTCACGCAGCCGCCACGCCTGCTTGTAACTGATGACAAACTTGCTGTGGGCCGAGAGAATCTGCTGCAAGGTCCTCGCCGAAATGAAAGGTGCGCCACGAACAAGGTTGCCCCATTGACGCTTCATGACCTTGATGCTGTTGGCGATGGCGTTTGCTCCTTGCTCTCGCATGAATTTGCGGCAGATGTGAGCTTCAGGGGGGGAAAGCGACGTCACTTCCCAGAATCCGCCACGTACAATCTTACTGTAACTGCATTCCCAAGGGCAGATGGGCTTTACTCCATGCATGGCGGTTTTGCATTGGATGATCACGTGGGCATCCGCCACCTCGACAGTCCCGAATCCAAAACGATGCCGCAACGCGAAGGCTTGCACCGCCTTTAGAGCCGCACCCCTCCAGGAGTATATTGCACCTTGTGTCAGTGGGGCATTATCTCTAGGGGCTCTTGGTTGTGCTTCCGGAACGGGGGGGGACATTTCGCATTGCCTCTAAGTTACTATTCGCTATACGCTCGGCGCGGTCAGGTGGTTCCGACATGGTTGCTGCTGGGTGTTGAAAGTATATCGTCACATCTGATGCCAATGGAGGGTACGCGCATACTTAAACAACTTGGAAACCCACCCCCTAAGCTGCTCTTGACGATGGTACAGTATGGCCACAACTGTACGTTGATGACTGAACAGCAGTTGATTCGGGGGCGAAAGGTGGGGCGGATGCAATTTCCTCGGCGGGAAACTGAGCGCGCTCGACAGTGGCAGCGATTTGGACATCCAGCAGTGCTTCACGGGGCGTTAGTGAGACCTCTCTGGTGCAACGACAGTGGCGGGAGTGAAAGTTCTGGCGTCAATTTCGCTCCGCGCGCGAGATTGAACGGTTTGGAAAGTTTGAAGTGTTTCACGTGTTGTTCACGGGCCACGCGTCGACCGTGAGTGGCGGGAAAGCTGAGCGCCCGGATAAAAAGGTACAGTGATTCCGTGATCGAAGGAAGGAATCTACTTGTAATCATTCTGCCAGACTGATCCGAAAGCTCCCTGGGCGGCGTAATGATTGGTCGCGAAATTCAGTTGGAATAGTCGCCACGGGCAGAAACCGATAGCCATGTCAAACGTAAAAAACCACAAGATCAGTATTGATGGGAAAAACTGACCGCGGGAATCGGACGCGGTCGCGTTAGGGGGGTAGTGGGAAAACCACTGCCCGTTGGAATTGGGGTCGAGCAAGCACCGCGGTTCGTCATTCCCTCCGAACATGTTGCTTTTGAAATTTTCCCTTTTTAGCATGCGCATTATAGCATACCAGCAATCTATCCTCTCAGTATCACTAAGCCAATGTTTCTTTACGTTTTACTTTCAATGTTTCTTTACGTTCTACATTGAACAACTGGGCCATCTGCTTTTCCCAACGGCGGGGCACCTTTTCATGGCGAGTGATAAATATCAGCCCCAAAAGGAAGAACGCTGACCTCAGCTCGATTGCCGAATCAGCACCGACTGAGCTGGCAGATCCTGAGGATCTCTCCGTTTCCGCTCTTGGAAAATGAGGTGGATGGCGTCTTGTGGAGACTTCTAGGAAGCGAGACATGCTCGAGGCGCATTTCCGGGCCTCGAACTCCACGCGAACCAAAGATCAGCTGTATTTCGCCACCGCGCAATCTGGTTCTCCTGTCTTCGCGAATACACTTTCTGATCTTTCGCATGATTGGCTTCGCGGCTGAGAAACACCCATCTCGGAAACGACACAGAAACAGTTCTCAAGGGGTGACACTGAGGAGCGCGCGAAAGCCAGGAACTCAAATCCACCAATCAGAAAGCCATGCCAGCCAGCAAAACCCAGTCTCCAAGGAAGGGACGCGCAGCTTTGCGGAAGAATGTGGGGGTTGCGTGAGATCTGGGCCAATTGCTCACCGCGGGGAAAGTTCTCCTCACGGAGGGTAGCCCCCGCACCTCAACCTCTGTCAGTTTTGCGCTTGGCGGAACGTAAGCGCTTTACGGACGAGTCACAACATGCCACGCAGCACACCTGACAGGATTTGGGTCGTTGCAACCTCCGCCCTCACAACACAACCGCTGTTCCTTCCCCTCTGCCGCCACCTTACCTTACCTAAACCTCCGCCCTCCTCCCCGCGTTCCTTGAGCCCAATGTGTGTGGTTGAGCGGGATTGTTTCAAGGGATGTGGCGCGCACGAGAGAAGTAGTGGGGAAAGGGGGGAAAGTTGAGGGGGGATGCGGGGGTGGGTGGGGAGGGGGGGGGGTTGGTTGGGGAGGGAGGGAAAGCTGCTGGGGGGTTCGCGCAAGCCACTCTCTGATTCTGTTGGCTGCTTTCCGCTCATTCGCAAAACATTTTCGTTTACCAGAGGGGAGACAAGCGCAGCACAGTATTGGAAGAGGAATTGGGGAGGGAGGGACACTGACGGCTGAAACAGCGAGCTGAAAAACTGCTCACACACAGCTTCCACAACACAATTGACGAATTCAAAACGAGAGCGTAAACCCACAACTCAGCCAGCGAAGCGCGCATTCGTGCTGACTGCACGCCGCTTCCGTTTGCTGCGCGCCGGTCCATGTCCATCGTTTGCGCGAATTCTTGACTGTAGCCGGTTGATGTCGTCACTTCCAAGCTGTGAAAACAAAAACGCGTCTCTCTCAAGCGCACATGGCTGATGTCGCTGGTCCCAGTTATGCTCTCGGGTCCGTCACGAATCATCAGACGGACAACCAAAGGTCACCACCGAGCAAGTTTCCGGAACCTCCCCTTGTTGAGGTGTCTGAGTTGGTACGTCCCTGCTATTTCGGTATTCCGTTTCCAGTTACGCTGTTCAACTTTTTTTTAAGGCTCGCGCCGCGCGGCTTTTACCCACATGTTTGCTGGTAAGGTGGCTTCATTAATCCTCCGTTTGCCCGATTATCCCCGCCGCGGTGTCTTGTTTCAGACGGTGGAGCTCGAGGCATGGGAAGACGACCTTCTGAATTTGTGCGATGACGAAGCTGGCGATATTGGCGGAATTCGCGAGGTTGTCGCGCCGACTGCCGCGCCGATGGGTGCTCTCGAGCTTCCCGCCATTTCTGCGGAATTCAGCGGTTCGTTGAATCAAGGCAGTCTCGAAACGCCGTCGTCACCGATGCTCTTCTCGCCGTTTTTGCCCGAGGACGGGTTGGCGGCGGAGGGCGAGGGGTTTCTGGACGGACTGACGCCGCTAAGTTCTTTTCACGAGAACGAAGAATCGCCTCTTGCCGTTCCGGTGAGTGATTGTGGTTGAGGGAGGGTTTTGCTGTGTTATTTTATGTTCGTGCTGAAGTAAACCCTCTTTCCGCATACCTCGTCGGTTTCTGTTATCAAGCTTCCTGTCTTTTCTTTTTTTTTCACCTGTCTCTTCCTCTCGTCCCTTACTCTTCTCTTGAATTTTTTTTGCTCTGTATTCCCGCTTGTGCCTCCTTTGCGTGCAGAGTGACGATCTCGACGAGCTGGATGCGATCCTCTTCCCATCCCTGCCCGGTAGCATGGCCAGCATGGCCAGCATCGCCAGCAGCAGCAACCTCTGCAGTCCCGCTGCTCTCCCGCCGCCACAGCAGTGCCACCCCTCCCACCATCGCGAGCACCCGCGTCACAAGCACAAGTACAAGCACAAGCACAAGCACACGCTCAAGCAGAAGCCTCGCGACTCCCCCGTTTTTAGGCGCGACAGCGCGGCTGCGCGCCGAGCGTTGGATCGCCTGCTGGCGGACGGCGGGATCGTTGGCAAGCGAGCTCGCAGCGCGCGGGGGAGCATTTGGAGCTGCAGCAGCTGCGGCCATGGCGGGACGAAGAACGAGAGTGGCGCAAAAGGGATACCGCTGGCGGTCCACGAGGTGCGTGAGGTTGGCGAGACTGGCGACGTTCGCGACGTTGGCGAGGGCGATTGCTCGCGAAGCGGAGGCAGACTGTTACACGTGAAGCGCGAAGGGGGAGTGGCGGAGACGCTCAAGTTCGATCGATTGGAACTGGTCGAGTCGACGCTGGGGCCGCTGGTTGATCGCATGGGCGAACCGAGAAACGCTGTTAACGGTGCGACCGCTGCGAACGACGCGGATGTTACGACCGTTGCGAACGGTGCAGCGGATTGTGCAGCGAACGGTGCTGCGAATGGTGCGAACAATACTCCGGCTGCAACAAGCGGCGTTGACGGGCGAAGCAACGGCGGTGCTGCCAGAGGCACCGACGATCATCTCGCGAGTCGACACCCCGTCGTCGGCAGCGCTGCTGTCGTGTCGCCAAGCAACGAAAAGACCACGACGTGCCATTGCCGTGTTGAAGAAGGAGGTGCTTGTCCAGGCAGGAGCGAGGACAGCAAGGGGAGTGATTGTCGTTGCTCGGGCAACAAGCGCCCGTGGTCGTCCCCGCTCGTTGCGTACCTCCTTTCCCCGCCTTCCCCTCGATCCGCGAAGCGCCGAAGCCTCCCCGTCATCCCCGCGCCATCGCCAATTTCTCAGGGAAATTCACCCAGTGGCTTCTTTTCACCGAGAATGGAGACGAGTGTTTTCAGACTGCCCGCTGCCGCCACCTCCTCCGCACCTGCCGCCACTCCTTCTCCCTCCGCCGCCGCCACCGCCGCTTCCGCTGACGCGCCTGCTTCTTCTCCTGCCGCTGTTGCCGGCGCGTTCCCGTCGCGGCGGTGCTCGCACTGCTCGACGACGACCACCCCGCAGTGGCGCACGGGCCCGCTGGGCGCGAAGACGCTGTGCAACGCGTGCGGCGTGCGCTTTAAGTCCGGGCGCCTGTGCCCCGAGTACCGCCCCGCCAACAGCCCCGGATTCTCCCCCAAGCTGCACTCGAACCTGCACCGGAAGATCGTTCAGATGCGGGAGAGGCGCGGCGGTGAGGTGGATGAGGGCGGTGAGGGGGATTGCAGGGCTGACGACGGGGCTGGGACCACTAGAAAGTTGGAGGTTCAGGGTTTAAGGAAGGTTAAGAAGGTGAAGGAGTGTGTAGAGGGAGGGACGGTGGAGGGATTGGTGGGGATAAGTGGAAACATGGGTGTAGCAGTGGTGCAGGAGAAGGTTCAGGAGAGGGTTCAGGATCAGGAGAGAGTGCAGGAGAGGCTCCAGGAGAGGTCGGAAGAGGAGGTTTCTGCCATAAGCCCTGCCGTAACCCTTGCCATAAGCACTGCTATAAACCCTGCCACAAGTCCGTTGAGTGGAAGGAAGCATCGCAAGGTTGACATTGTTGCAGCTCGACGAGCCGACGCCCAGGCAGCAGCGATGCAACATGCGACAGCGCTTCAGTCTGCTGGAGGGGTTGTGGAAGTTCAGCCACATGCTTCCAGTGCTGCCAGTGCTGCCGATGCTTCTGGTGCTGCTGCTGGTGCTGCTGGTGCTGCTGCTGGTGCTGCTGGTGCTGCTGCTGGTGCTGCTGCTGCTGCTGGTGTTGCTGCTGCTGCTGCTGCTGCTGCCGGTGCTGCTGCTGCTGCTGCTGCTGCCGGTGCTGCTGCTCCTGCTGCCGGTGCTGCAGCTGCTTCTGCTGCCGCTGGTGCTGGCAGTGCTGCTGGCGGTGTCAGTGCTGATGGTGCTTATAATGTTGCTGAAGAATGCGCACTGCCATCTGGTGCTGCTGCTTCGCTAACGGATGCCGTGGAAACAAGAGGCGGACGCATGGAGAAGAAGAAAGAAGATGGGCCAAGCATTGAGCGTTCCATGGTTAATGTGGGTGGGAGTGGCAGTGCAAGTGCGGCAATGGTGTCACTTCAGAGGAGCTGCTCCAGTGGAGCTCACCTTACCACCAACTTTGTTGCTGCGTCAGCTTAATGGATCCCTGACAGTAGAGACGATGGCAGCGTTCTGCTGCTGCTGGGAGTACGGGCGGTAGTGTGAGTGCAAGTGCAACCATGGCATGGCAACGACACAGCAGAGGAGCTGTCACAGTGGTCATTTTTCAAGGGCTCCATTGCTTCTAGAACGCGGGAGGGCTATTGTTGGTACAGCCATTGCGACTCTGCTCAGGAGTAGTTGTGGCGGCCCATTTGGCAGCAAATTTTGCTGTTTTTGTGTGATGCTTCAGTTGGGCGGATGCCTGCTGTTGGCTGTAGGCATGTGATCTACCATTCTTTTTGGTGTGGTTTGTTGTTTTGTTTTGGACTTTTGCAGAATGCAAATTGTTCTTCCAGCTGTATCAGTAAGCGACGGTATTATAGCGAAGATCCCTTGCGGCCCGTTCTTTACTTGATTGTGCCTGCGAAGTCAATACCTGCGAAATCATCACTTCGCACAGGTTACAGGCTCTCACATAGGTATCCCCTCAACCATGTACTCGTTATAGGTTTTCGATGACGTGAAGAATTTCGCATCCATCGCCCCTTTCTGAAATCCGTCTCATGTTTCGCACCAAGTTCTCGTAGACTCTGCGTGGCCCAGCAGCACGTCCTCACACCCCTGAGCAACCGCGATTCGCGCAGCCTCGCGCCTACGCCCTTGCATTTCCCGCTCTCCATCTCGGTGTGCGCGCATGGCGGGGGTCAGTTCCCCCGAGGACCGCATGCGCCACCTCGTTGCGCGGGACCCTTCCGCGGCCTTCGTTCCGCCGTCGCTCGCCTCTTCCGCCTCCGCCACCTTGCGCTGCCCGCAATGCGCCGCGCCCATAACTGTTTCGCAACCCACTGTAAGCCGATTCTGGATGAGCGTCCACTGACACGAAACGAGCGAATCTAATACGGAGTACGACTAAATTAGTCATAGTATGACAGTTTTACCACTACTCCGAGCTTGACACAAAAACAGCGTGCAGCTTCCTTAGTCTTCCTTCGCCTTTCCTCCCCTTTCTTCGGCCTCCCTGATTTCTCCCTCTATTTCGCCTTCTCCGCATGTTTCCCCCGCCTCCCTCCCTTAGTTCCTCCTTGCGTCATGCTTTCCCCTTCAATCGCCCCTTTGATTCCGCCGCTCCTTTCAATCACCCACCACCGCGCAACAGGCGAACGCTCGCGTCATGCTTTCCCCCTCAAATCCCCTTCCTTCCGCTGCTCCTTTCAATCAACCAGTCCCGCGCAACAGGCGCGGATGATGCAGCAGTAGGCACCCCAGGCCATGGGGGAGCTTCCGCGCGGACAGGGGGAGGCGGAGGGATGAGCGGAGGGGATTGGCGCATGGCGCCTTTCATGCGCGATAGCCTTGCCACGGTGAGATGGGGAGGGTGGGGTGAGGGGCGGGGAGGGGGGCGGGGAGGGGGGCGGGGGGGAGACATTGTACATAGTGCACGGCTCATGGGGTTGGCGCATGGCGCCCTTCATGCGCGATAGCCTCGCCACGGTGCGATGGGCAGGGTGGGTGGAGGAGGGGGGGGGGGGGTGGAGGGGAGGGGGAGACATTGTACGTGGTGCATGGGGATGGTGCATGGCGCCTTTTATGCGGGATAGCCTTGTCACGGTGAGGTGGGGAAAAATAGTAGGGGGAAGAGTGAAACGTGGGGATACGGGAGAAACGGGATTGAAAATTGGGGGGAATGGGAGGGAGATGTGGTGCGGGGAGGAAGGAGTGGGGGGAGGTGGAGCGATGAGCGGAGGAGGATGGCGCATGGCGCCTTTCATGCGGGATAGCCTTGCCACAGTGAGACAGGGAGGGTGGGATGGGGGAAAGGGAATTGGGGAGAGAATGTAGGAAGGAGGGAATGTGGGGAAGGGTGAATGAAGTGAGGGGGGGGGGGCGACGGGGAGGGGGGGGGGGGTTGGAGGGAAAAATTGTGCATGATGCATGGCACATGGCGGCTTTCGTTTAGTACAACCTCCGTCTTGAGTGCCTGCTTTTCTCCCCACCCCCATCCTTCTGGCATCCTTCTTATTGCCTGCCTCTCTGCATCTGCCTGCACCCCTCCGTACTTCAACTAACCACGGCCTCCCAGGTAATGTGGGAAGGACCGTTGCATCCACATTACATCCCACATGCACGTTTTTTGCATCGCCTCACCACCACACCCCTCCTCCGTCCTTCTTCACTTCCCACCACCACCCATCCTCCACCCATCCTTCTTCTCTTCCCACCTCCACCGCTCTTGCATCCTGCTTCTTGCCTGTTTGTCTCTGTGCTCTTCTAATTCCCCCATCAGCTCGGCACAGCCATGGGAGGAACCATTGCATCAGTCTATGCTTTCAACGCAGGTAATGCCATGCCTATGCTTGCTCTTGGTGGCTTTTTTTCTTTGCCTCTCTGCCTCTCTGCCGCTCTGCCTTCTCCTCATCGGCATGTTCCTCTTCTTCCACTTTCCCATACCTCCGCAACTCCACTTGCCCATGTCTCCTCTCCCCAGCCACCCGTCGTCTCTCCCTTTGCTCCCCATCATATGACCTAACCTCACCAGTGACGCCATACCTCATCTCATCCCCTTTGGATTCCGCAACGAGGATGTCACATCTGGAAAAGTGCATTTCACGGCCCAACCAGGATGCACTTTCGATCCACTCAACCAGCACTCCCCCTTTTCTTATCCTCCCCCTCCCTCTCGCCCTCCCTCTTCCCAATCCTCCCCCCCCTTCTCGCCCTCCTTCTTCCCAATCGTCCTCCTCCCTCTCGCCCTCCCTCCTCCCAATCCTCCCCCTCCGTCTTGAATAAAACAACAGTGATGCCTCGGTTGGGAAAGCGCATACCAGGATCCAGGGGACTGCAGTATCTTTTGGGGGTGAGCGGGAAGGGGACGAGGGGGAAAGATTGAGAGTTAACGTGCTGAGAGTGTACGTGTTGCAGCTGTTCTGAGGCCCTCGGTTGGGAAAGCCTAGGCCCTCGGTTTCTGGTGCCTAGGCCCTCGGTTGGGAAAGCTCATACCAGGATCCAGGGGACTGCAATATCTTTTGGGGGTGAGGATGGAGGCATGGGAGTAATTGAAGGGGTGGGAGTTAAGGTGCTGAGAGCGTACTTGCTGCAGGCTGTTGTTCTGAGGGGGGTTCCGGTGCCGCGGCTGGGCAAGCGTCTTTCAGGACCCAGGGGACTGCAGTTCCTAGTGGGGTTAAGAGAGAAGGGCTGAGAGTGTATGTGCTGAGAGGTAACGTGCTGAGAGTATGCGTGCTGCAGCTGCGCTGAGGGGGTTGGTGATGCCGTGGCTGATCTCTTCCCGTTCCCGTGGCTGGGCAAGCGACGGGGCAAATTTATTCTTCTGCATCTCTCCGTTGCCTGATCTCTTCCCCCGTCTCTCTCGTCCCTGTTCTCTCCCCTTTTTTTTCTCTTAACCCCTCTCTCTCCTCTTCTCCCCCCCCACTTCCTTTTACCTCTCTTCTTTTCCCGCCTTCTCTTAACTTCCCCCCCAGATCCCGCCAGTGGCAGTGGCTGCTGCAGCAGGTGGAGGGGTGGGAGGTGAGTGACTGCTTTGCCTCACCCTCCCTCTCCCTTATTACTGCTTTGCTTACTGCAGTAACAAGGGCAATGACTGCATTGCTGTGCTGGTGTGCAACGCTGCGATTTTCCTGCTAATTAGAAAAACATTCCACCCTTCATGACTACGATTAAGTAAACTGGAGTCACTTTTGTCCCACAGAGAATGTCTGCGTACTGGCTGGATGTTGCTGTTTTTTTCTAAGTCGATTAAGAAATTGACTAGTATGCCTGCATACTGGCTACTTTCTTCCCCTTGCCTTCCCATACGCCATCCTCTCCCTCCCCACCAGCCGGCACCCTCCCTGCACTCATCCAGCTCTGCATGTCAGCTTACTATGTCACATCCGCATTTACACATGCTGCTGTCAGTGCAGCAGAGCAAAAGGTCATGGCTCATGCTATTGGTGCCGCTGGTGGTGCTAGTGGTGCTAGTGGTGCTGTTGGTGCTGCTGCCGCTGGTGGTGCTAGTGGTGCCGCTGCTTTCTCGAGGGAAGAGGTGGGTCCTGCGTGTTAGCGGTCAGCATACTATGTCACATCCGCATCAACACACGCTGCAGTCAGTGCTGCAGAGCAAAAGGTCATGGCTATTGCTAGTGGTGCCGCTGTTGCTGCTGCCGCTGGTGGTGCTGCTGCTGGTGATGGTGCTGCCTCAGCGAGAGAAGATGTGGGTCCTGCTTGTTTGACTGGTGGCATTTATCTTAACCATCCCATGCCATGTTGTCATGCCATCATGCTATGCCAACTTGTCATGCCATCATGTCATGCCATCATATTATCATTCTAGGCCATCTTGCCATGCCATCATGCCATGCCATCATGCCATGCCATCATGCCATACCACCACGGCACCATGCCCTGCCTCCATGCACCATGCTCATGCATGCATTCATGCTCTCACAAGCACCCTTCTCTTTTACATTTCTCTCTGTACATCACTCACTCTCTCCCCAAGCAGTCTGATGCCACTAAATGATCGTTTCACTTGACTCACTCTCCCCACTGTCACAAGCGGCCCTTGTGCCTTAGTGAGTGCTCAATAGTCGTTCAGTTACACTCACTCTTTCCACTCTCACAAGCAGCCCCTGTGGAGCTGTTCTCTTGTGAGTGCTCTGACCATTTCCTCTAGCTTTTGATGCACCTCATTAGTAGTCCTTCAGTTCAATCATTCTTTCCGCTGTCACAAGTGACCCCCGTACCTTTGTGAGTGCTCTCGCCACCTTTCTCAATCGCTTCCACCGCATTCAACCGCACTCAACAATGGCATTGAAGACCTGCACCGCTCAGTGCCAGGCCAGTCCACATTGGGTTGTGAAAATTTGTCTGGTTCGAGGCAATTGAACTGACCCTAATCTGTGTGGTGTGGGATGTGTGTGTGTGTGTGTGTGTGTGTGTGTGTGTGTGTGTGTGTGTGTGTGTGTGTGCGTGCGTGCGTGCGTGCGTGCGTGCGTGCGTGT